AGCCCTAGGTGCTCAATAAATGTCTGAATGAATTACCAGCCCTATATGGGAGGGAGGCAGTGAGGTGCCTGAGCCAGGCAGCGCCACACAGACTTTTATCAGAACACTAAGTGCTCCTATAAGTCAACGGATGTTTATTGAGAGTCCAGGGTCCAGAGCATGCTGAGCTCCATAGTGGGTACTGGTGCATAAAAATGAATCTGGGATAGTTCTCCCTTAGGAACCTCACTATTGGGGGCTACTGTTAAATGGAATTAGAAGAGAGGTAATTGCCATGACAGTGGAAGTTCAGGGTCCTCTGGGATCAAAAGGAGAGAAACCTTCCAGAAAGATTCCTGGAGGAATTAACTTGGAGGGTGCATCAGGCTAACTGAAGGGAGAGTGGGTGAAGTCCATGAGGGAGGGGACCCAGCCTGCTCTAGATGAGTAGGGATGAGGGAGGGTCATTGAAGCATTTAATGCTGGGGGTTACCAGATCAGATGTTTACTAAGAAAAACTACTTTGGTTTTAGAGAAGAGATTGGATTGGGGGAGGGCACTCCACGGCAGGGAACCATGGAACCAACCAGGGTGCTTTTAGAATCACCAGACTTGGTGATTGATTGATTACCTGTGTGGGGAGAGGTTGAAGATGAGCTCAGAATGTAAGAATTGTAGCTGGGTTTCTGGTTCTGACAACTGAGATAGGGAACAATGGAAAAAGTCACACTGCAGGTTGGGGAAAGGTCTTGAGGGGCTTGGGGTATACATGAATCAGGGTGTCCCTCCATAGACTCCATTAGGGTGACCTAAAGAAATGTATGGATGTTTGGCAGAGGGTTTGCAGATATCTGGTAACCCCCATCATTAAACGCTTCAGTGACCCTACATTTCTTTCCAGATAAACTGTAGACTCCTTAACAAAGTTTACAAGGTTCTTGACAAACCTGGCAACCAACTGCCACAATGGCCTGCTGCTCCCTCACCCCCAGTCATCTGGAGCAGACTAGACCTGAGTGACAGCTGGACTTATCTCATCATCCTGTGTTCTCACAGCACTGGCTCTGCTCTCAGCAAGAATTACTGAAGTCCATGTTCCTCTAGCCAGTTGCACTCAGAGCCTAGGACAGGCTTTCCCACATAGGAATGCTTTGGTAGGGTGACTAGTACAGAAGGTAGGGAAGAGGGCCCACAAAGAAGGGCAGATGATCCAGAAGAGGTATGGAAAAGAAGTCTTATCAGCTAGAAATACCTATTGCAATAAAATGGAATTAAATTAAAAAAAAACACATATTGTAGTATTTATGGATAAGGCAGGAGGTTTGGGATTTTCTAAGAGATTGGGTGTTTTGGGGGGGAAAGAGGGACAGAATTAAGAAATTTAACAGGGCCTCCTGGTGGCGCAAGGGGTTAAGCACCACACTATGAAGCAATCTGCAGCCTTTGCAGCACAAGTTCGATCCCCAGCCAGCCAGGGAACAACCCACATGGTGCAGCAGACCTCTCCTGTTTCTCCTGCTGCTCCCCTCAGCAGTGTATTTCGTCAGTCTGCCTGTTCTGTTCCCCACTCTGCCTCTGGTGAATCCTCTCACTCCACGCCTCTGGCCTGTACCCCAGCTCTTGTATGCATAAATAAATAAATCTTTAAAAAACAAAAAAGAAACTTAATAGATCCAAGGTCTTATTTGAGCAAAATGGGGTTGAGGATGTCAGGGATGAAGATGTTTTATAAAATATCTGAAATGAGCTTCAGAAAGGACATTTGCAATGGATTGGAGTCATTAGACTCAATAGTCTAATGAATTAGTTTAATTCATTAGCTCTGAAAGACTAGACTTAGAATTCTCTTCCTCTATTTTGCCTCCCTATTTCATCAGTGACTAAGCCTAGATCCAGAGAGAATTGAGCTGCCGCAGGCACACAGCTGATTACTGGCAGCAGTGGTGCTGGATGTTGGAGGAGTGAGGAGGACACCCAGGCCCAACCCGAGTCAGACTGATATAGGTTTGATCCCAGCTCTTACTTCATCACTCCCTAGCTGTGCGATCCTTCCTTCTGGGCTTTCTCCTCCTGTAATATGGGGACATTAACAGTGATTGTGAGTACAAGAACAGGAGTGATGGGAGCACAGCGGGTCTTTTCAAGGGTTGAAGTCTTGCAACTCTGCATTTAACTGCCTGTCTTACAGAGCCACTCGGGCCTAACCAAACAGCTTTGCCATGGGCTCTGAGATTTACGGGGGGAAGAAGGAGACACCAGTTCTGGGTGGATTCTCTCTTGGCTGTATTGTTTGGCTGCTGTCAGAATGCATCCTCTCCTCTTTCTTCTTCCCTCCAGCCAGCTCTACTGTCCCCCGTAGGAGCTGTTGCCATGGCAACTCAGTTCTCCCCAACAGTTTGGCTGTCTTAGGCTTCCTTAAATCCAGTGCTTTAATTCAGAGTTAGGGTCCGCTGACTAGTTGAGAATGTGTCACACCTAAATCAGAGTGCAGGACATCCATGAGCCCTGGCCCCATCCCTGGCCCACACTGACCTGTGGTAGGGTTCTGGCATTGGAAATCCAGGCTTCCCTCTAACACTGCACAGATCTTTTCTGCAGCAGCAGTCATCATCACATCCCCTAGGAAACCTCCCCTGACAGCCTCCAACACACATCCACAAAAAGAGGCGACCCCTCCTACCTTTGGGTCTTTCCTCCCAGCACCCACACATTTCAGCCATCTGTTTCCTTCTCTCCCCTATGAGCTTCTTCAGTGCTGGGACTGTGCTTTATTCATCTGTTCAGCATGAGACTTGAATGGAATGGGCCCTCTCTACATTTTGTTGAATGAATAACTAAAGGAGTGAAAAGTGGAAGTATCTGAAGGATGAAAATTCAGTTATATAGCAACTGCGAATACACTCTTGGGGTAAATCAGACCTGAGTTCAACTCACATCATCATTAAATAGCTGATTGACCATAGTCAGCTTACTTCCTCTCTTTATGCCTTAACTTCATCTGTGAAGGATGTCTGTGAGGATTGAGTTAGAGACCAGGTAAAATGCTTAGCACAGTTACTAGACTGAGGAAGGGATAGCCTCCTGCTGTGTCCCTGGTACTTGGCACAAAGCAGGCACATACATATTTTATTGAATAAGTGAATTTTAAATGATGAACGTTGTTCTGGAAGCTGGTTTGGAAGTATAACAACAGGTGTATCACTCACATGCAAATAATCACTATATGATCTTGGTCAGGTCTGTGTGGCAGCGCTTAGTATTTCCCTCTTGGTCTGTTTCTAGGCCTGTTTTACAGGCCTCTCCCACTGGCCTGTGAGCATCTCCAGGCAGGCACTGCATGGATCTCACCCACATCTTTAGTGCTCAGCCAAGGCTTGGCATAGAGAAGATGCCCTAAAAATCCTGTTGAACAGCTAAACCTAACTTACATTGGCACTGCACTTACAGTTTATGAGGCAGTTACACCCACTGGATCTGATGTCACCACCAAGGACAGTCCTGTTCTTTACTACCCATGGGCCCATATATTTTGAAGAATCATTCATTAAACAAATTCCACTTGTTAATCAAAGTCATGCCAACTGTGTCTCAAAATTTCTGATTTATATAAAATAAGAATGTTTATGTCAAACTCCCAGCACAGGGTATGGACCCAAGAAAGGCTTCCTAAGTGAGTACATATATGGCTTCTTTAGCCTTTCTGAACAGTTGATAATAGGCTACTCCACCCCACCTTCTCCTTTTCTCTTCTTCTACTTCTCCTTCTTCTTCCTCCTTCTCCCTCCTCTGTCCTCTCCTTTTTACTATACATTAGATCACAGCATCCCCTGTTGGGAACTCCTGACTTCACCACAGCTTAATACCCCCATCTTTTTTTTTTTTATTTTCTCTTTTTTTTTTTTAAATAACATTGCTTTCATATATATATATATATATTTAAAGATTTATTTTATTTATTTATTTATACAAGCACTGGGTACAGTCAGAAGCGTGGGAGGGTGAGAGAATTCACCAGAGCCGGGAGCAGAGCAGGCAGAAGGACCGAAGTACACTGCTGAGGGGAGCAGCGGGCGTCAGGAGAGGTCTGCACGCCATGTGGGACCCTCCTCTGGTGGCCGGGGAGCAGCTGGGGATCAAACCGGCGCTGCAGAGGCTGCGGGCAGCTTCGCAACCCAGCGCTCAACCGCTGCGCCACCGGGGAGGCCCTTCTCTTTCTTTTTTTAAAGATTTTTTTTTTTAATTTATACAATAGCTGGGGTACAGACCAGAGGCACAGGAGGGTGAGAGAATTCACCAGAGACAGAGTGGGGAACAGGCTATGCAGAAGACACTGCTGAGGGGAGCAGCTGGCAAGGCAGGAGAGGTCCGCCGTGCCATGTGGGTATCTCCCTAGCTGGCCAGGAATTGAACAGCACTGCAGAGGTTACGGACAGCTTCACAGCGCTGTGCTCAACCTGCTGCACCACTGGGGAGGCTCCAATACCCCCATCTTCTAAATGAGTAGACTTTTAGAAATATTGTCCCTGGTATTTGCTTCCACAGCAGCCTCCTCTGCTAATATTCTGTGACCTCAACAAGAAAGTTAAAATGCTTGAATAGGTATTCTTATAGCAAACTGAAATCTTTTTCTTTTTCTCTTTTTTCCAAGCATAAATATAAATCCCCTTTATTAAGCTGGGCCTTCCGATTTTCTTTTTTCGGGGGGGAGGGGCTTTGTTTTATTTATGTTTTTTAATTTTATATATTTTTTACATCTTTTTCATTTTTGCACAATGTATGCATTTTCATCTTGGTGGTAGTCCCCATACAATTCCCACCTCCTTGTTTTGATCCTATTCTCTGGTTTATAGCTGCTTGTTGATTTTGATTTTTACTTTATTATAATTAGTCTTTTTCCTGGTCCCTAATGGCAGTCCTATGGCTCCCCTAAAATTATGTCCGGGGTTATTCTGTGCATGAAAACACGTCATGAGCTCCCTGGAGGTGGCGTTATCGGTTCTCTTTGCCTCTTGCGCCCGCAGACACCAAGTGTAACTCCCGTGGTGCAACTGAACGTCGGGGGCGCTGTCTACACCACCTCCGTGGGCACCCTGACAAAACTCCCAGGTTCCAAGTTGGCAGAGATGTTCTCCAGATCGCACAAGGATGCGGAGGGCCGCTTCTTCTTCGATCGCTCCGGCACCTATTTCGGACCCATCCTGGACTACCTGCGTTCCGAGCAGCTGCCCACGCAGCACATCCCAGAGGTGTACCGCGAGGCTCAGTTCTACGAAATCAAACCGTTGGTCAAGCTCCTGGAGGACACGCCACAAATCTTCGGTGAGCAGGTGGCACGGAAGCAGTTCTTGCTGCGGGTGCCAGGTTACAGCGAGAACCTGGAGCTCATGGTGCGCCTGGCGCGGGCCGAGGCCATGGCCGCGCGCAGCTCCAGCGTGCTGGTGTGCGCGGTGCGCACGGAGGAAGATGCAGCTCACTGCGCCGACACCCTGCGCGTCCTGGAGGAAAACAAGAGGTCGGTCATCAAGTTCGGGCCCTGGAAGGCAGCCCCCGAGATCACAGATCTCCTGGACTGTGTGGTGATGGACATTGCAGCTCAGGGGTATAAAGTGTCCCGTCGAGCCTGCTCTGAGAAGGCAGTGCGGGGCAAGGCTGTCAATTACTTTTATACATTCCTCTTCACCTGGTGGTGATCCCCAGTGGCAGGGGCTGTTCGTTATGGCCCTGGTGGGGCTTATGAAATTAAAAATGGCCTTCAAAAGCAATTTTCCTTTAATTTCAAAAACAAACATCAGCTTCCGAGACCATGTAAGAGGTTTGCCCCCAAATATTTCTCTCCCCCAGCCTTGAGGACTTTCCACTCATTGCAACCCATTCCACTGTACTTGCCCTGGAGAGGTGCAACTGCTCTCTCTTTAAAGCCTCCTGTACCTGTCAGACCCTTCCCCCCCCCCACTTTTTTTTAAAGACTTATTTAATCATGCATACAAGAACCGCGGTATAGGCCAGATGTGCGGGAGGGTGAGAGGATTCACCAGAGACAGAGCAGGGAACAGAACAGGCAGACTGACGGAAATACACTGCTGAGGGGAGCAGCGGATGAGACAGGAGAGGTCTGCTGCACCATGTGGGTAGCTCCACCACCAGCTGGGATTGAACCCACACTGCAGAGGCTGCGGACAGCTTCACAGCACTGTGCTCGACTGCCTGCGCCACCAGGGAGGCCCTAGACCCTTCCCTTGAAGTCCAAAAGTCAGAATGAGGTTAGCTGGAATATTTCAACAATGCTTTGGTTGGAGATGCAGGATGATGACAGGAAAATAATAGGATACCATGAATCTAGATAGCTTTACCCCAAAATATCGTCTGTCCTGCTTCAGCTTGTGGTCCAATCCTCCAGCCTTGGGGTGTGTCTTCATGGATAAGATACCAAGTTGTTACCTATAGTAGATGCCCATCAGATCTCCTTTTCCTAGATTTTGAGAATGTTGGCAACTAAAGTCTCACAGCTGTTTTCTTTTCTAGAGCAGTGGTTCTCAAAGCACGAACCCTAGACTAGCAGTATCAGCAACACCTGGGAACTTGTTAGAACTATAAAAGCTCTTATCTCCAAGTCAGACCTACTGAATTTGAAACTCTGGGGGTTAGCGCAGCAGTCTGTTTTAATAAGCCCCCTAGAAAATTCTGACACACTCTAATTTTAAGAACCCGCTCTAGAAAAGAACTACCATCCCACTTGTGTGGACAGCCAAGAAACTGACCCCTGGTCTCAAGGAGGAATTAACTGGTGCTGTTTTCTGTTCCAGAGCTCTTGGTGTGATGAGGCTGAAATCAGGCTTCATTTTATACCACCTTCTTATCTGGCATTCTTCCTCTGCCCTGCCCTATTTTCCTCACCCCCTTTGGCTTGAAAGCACATCCTCAAAAAGCCATTTGTGCAAGAGACTGTTTCAGGTTCTGCTTCTCAACACATTGCATGACTTTAAAGAGGTCAATTGTAGATGTTCACCCTTCTCCAAGGCCAGATCTAGGATAAATGCCTCCCTTCCAGCCAAATAAGTTGACTAACTTACTGGTAGTTTTCCAGGAACTAGAGGTCAAGATTTAAGGAATTAAAACTGAATCAATGAGTTTCAAATTTAAAAATAAAATTGTTCACAATAGTCATGGTCAGTGACCATTGTAACAATAACTTCATGTGGTTGTACATTTTTCTTATCTTCAAAGCTTACTCTATGTTTTTCTTTTCTGGTGTTTAATATGGCTGACAAAGTGGAAAAACCTTGGATAAAAAATTTGAATTTTTTATCATGGAGCAATTTAGCCATATTTAACAAGAACATGTAAAAAATCAGAGGGGGGGAATACCCTGAAGAGGGAGGGATAAAAAATTCCAAACCCATTTATCAGTGATTACCAATGAGATTAGATTCCAAGGAGACTCCTTACTCCTTAAGATCTAAATAGATTGCTTAAAACCTCAATTGCAGAAGTTATGGAAGGGTCGTTGTCCTTCCCAAGATTTCTACATATGCCCTGAGGGCCTCATTTTTTTAAAAAAAAAGATTTATTTATTTATGAATACAAGAGCTAGAGTGCAGGCCAGAGGTACATGCGCGCTGGGGGGTATGTGTGTGTGTATTCACCAGAGAGAGTGGGGAACAGAACAGGCAGAATGACTGTCCCACAGTGGGCAAGACAGGAGAAGTCTATTGCGCTTTGTAGGTCAGCTCCCTGGCCAGGGATCAAACTCATGCTGCAGTGGCTGCTGATAGCTTCATAGTGCTGAGCTTTAATCCCTTGCACCACCAAGGAGGCCCCGGCTTCACTTCTTAAGGGTCAACTCTAGTTCTCTTCTCCTTAGTCTCTGGATTCATTCATTCAGCAGAGAGATCCTCTACATACCTCGAACCTGTTGCACAGGTTGCTCACCTAATACACATTGCTCACCCAAGTTTAACCACAGATACTTTTCTTAATTTTTTACAATGCCATTTCCAACGAGCTATTTGTGCACATAGCAAGCTGTGAGAGAGAGGTAAATGAAGGGGAGGTAGTTTATAATACAGAGATGCAAATAATTTCCCATGGAATATTGGACATATCCATTCTTAAAAGTTTGTCAGTCACGCCTATCTCTAGGGGCTTTTCATTAATGGATTGTATTTGTTTCCAATTCTTTCTTCCTCACTGTTATAGCCATGTTTCTCTATAGGGGGCGTAAACCTTCCCACACCACTGATCTGCTACTTGTTTTCATGACTTAATCTGGCCAATGGATTATGTGTAAAAGTGTGTTTCAATTCCATACTGAGGCTTTACAGGCATGCCAAGTTCCCACCAACCCTTTTGTGGTCCTGTCATTTGCACAGAGAAGACCATGGTCCAGTTTAGTTACCTCTTTTATCGCCTTGACTCTAGCCTGCATGTATATGACTATTTTCCTAAACAATTTACCAAACTATTTTATTAAACAAAGGCAATTCCAACATTCCCCAAACTCCCAATCCCTAATACAATTCAGATAGCATACTGTTTATATCCTACTTAATTTACGATAGGAAAATAATCATAAATAAGTCAAGTTAGTTATTTTACATCTATATAATGTAATGCTATGCAGCAATTAAAGTTACAATTGTTGATGACTTACAATTATCAGGGAGAATGCTCATTTAATCCAATGTAATTGAACTACACCACTTAAGGTGGTGGGGCTTACAGGCGTATATAAAGAAGAAATATCTTATCTTAAAAGATATAAATTAGAAGTGCATACGTTAATTGGACTATTTGTTGCCTACCCAATAATACCATTTTCTTTCCTAGCAGCCCAAGAAAATTATTACGGCACACTAATAATGTTCAAGATAGTATTTCTGTTCTTTTGTAGGGGCAAATGAGACTTTTCAGGTCTGTTGGGATTAAGAGAGAATTAAATGTAGCTGTTATTATAATCCAAAGGAAAAACACAGTAAAACTTTGAGATCATTCCTGTGGAGACACCCTAATTCTTAGCAGTCTGCCATTATTCTCTTAGAGTACCTCTTCTTTTTTATTCAAAAACTATTCTCTGCTTATTCTCCCCATCCTCCCATGCACCTCTCCCCATCCATCCTCTTCCCTTTCTACTGTGTTCAGTAGCCTTGAAAGTTTATCCCAAAGTACAGCATGCCCAGGCCCCCTCCCAGTTGACCAAACACTTAGAAAGTACAAGATTGGAAGACAAGACCTGTGCAGTTGGTATGTGGATGGACTTTTGGGAATTGTTGGGGGGAAAGGATGCCCTGAAGGAACTCCACAAACACAGGTTTTATGGACTCCACACAGCACCCCAGACCAAAGAGATCCAGAACACTAAGAACTACACATCCCATAATGCCATCACCCCCAAAGGGAGGATGCTGGGAACTGAGGGTGGAGTTAAGCAGCCAGGCTTGGTATATAACTAGATAAACATGGGGGCCTTGGGGTTTCTTGGCTTTTTGCTGGCTTTCAGCATGCTGTTGGTGTCCCAGCTCAGAGGAACTGGTAGGACACATTCACCAATTTCTCTCTCTCTCTTTCTCCCTGAGTTATTCTTTTCCTCATTTCCCCTTTTTGAAATAAACCCTTTATTAACTTTTTGTGTGTGCCTGCAGTTGAGTCTTACTATAAGTCCCTTTTAAGTACACAGGTGAGGACCCACAGTCAGGCAACCCATTTCACATTGGGGTTGCCCTGTGACAGAATAGTGAAAACATTTGTTTCTTAAGAATGCCCACCAGAGGGCATCTATTCTAGAAGAAGCTCTTAAAAAACGAATGTACACCATGATCCAACCTGTGGATGTCAGTCAGTCTCTCTGACTCCCCGACTCCCAGGTGCTTACTCAGTGGGGTCCTAAGGAAGATTGTGTGACAGCAGGGATGGAGGTTACGCATGGGCTTATAGTGTAGATTTCCCCTCAACAAAGATAATCTTGTCACTCACTTATGTCTACAACAAAGACCAACACTAAGCCCCTAATATTGAGGGAGGAAGCAGAAATGGGTATAGGCAGTTGGGACCCCCCAACCCAAATCCCTAAGTCTGCTCATAAGCCTGATTGAGAAACACTTGGCTGGAACCAGGAGGGCGCCATTCCCACCCTCACCCCACCAGCCCTCGGTTCATTTACCAGTCTGATCGGAGAGTTTGGAACACCATTAACAATAACACTGGAACAACAGAACAATGGGCCAAAGCTGGTTTTGAGAAGTTAGGTCAGGTAACGTGGGCAGACTTAGGCCTTGATTAGCCTAGGAGACCCCCGTGGGTCCAGCTAATCAACCAGAAACAACATGGAGACACCCAATGGCCAAACCCTCCACTCCTTGCCCACTATACCCATATAAGTACCTGCTTCTTGCCACCTCAATTGGCCAAACCTACTTGGCACCCCTCTCCACTTGGAGAGCTTTCCTGTACTTCTTCCTACCTACCTGTCAATAACTCTCTTGCTTTCCTATGACTTTGGCCTCAATATTAAATTCTTTTCTCACGGAAGGCAAGAACCAAGAAAAAACCTGCCTGAGGTCCTCAGACACCAGACCTACTGTAAAACCCCTATTCAATATGGTATTATTTCCAGGGCCGACATGACAGTTCTTGGTGAATCCTCTTACCCCTCCCCCTGCACCTCTGGCCTGCACCCTAGCTCTTGTATGCATAAATAAGTAAATCTTTAAACAAGCAAACAACAACAACAAAAAAAAGTCTAAATCCATTTGGACTCATTAGCTCCTTTCCAGCTAACTCAATGAACTGTGGCAAATCGACTTAGGGACTATCTGACTATATAGCTTTCTCCCCCACTCCCAAATTAAATGCCTTAAAAGGATAAACATTAGTTATTTCACATAAACATATAGAGATGGAGTAGTTCTTCTACACTTTTTTTCTTTTTTTAAGATTTATTTATTTATTTATTTAAATATACAAGCACTGGGTATAGTCAGAAGTGCGGGAGGGTGAGAGAATTCACCAGAGCCAGAGTGGGGAGCAGAACAGGCAGAAGCACCGAAGTACACTGCTGAGGGGAGCAGCGGGCGGCAGGAGAGTTCTGCGCGCCATGTGGGACCCTCCTCCGGTGGCTGGGTAGCAGCCGGGGATAGAACCAGCGCTGCAAAGGCTGCAGGCAACCCAGTGCTCAACCACTGCGCCACCGAGGAGGCCCAGTTCTACTCTTACCTGGGCTCACTCATGTATCTGCAGTCAGATGGTGCATCAGCTGGGTGGAACTGGTCTAAGATGGCCTCAACTGGGCCAACTTGGTTTTGTTACATGTAGTCACTCACTTATTCTCTGAAAATAATAGAGTCTGGGGCCTCCCTGGTGGCTCAAGGTGTTAAACACAGTACTATGAAGCTATCCGCAGCCCCTGCAGTTCTATCCCCTGCTGGCCAGGGAACAACCCACATAGTGCAGCAGACCTTTCCTGCCTCACCCACTGTTCCCCTCAGCAGTATTTCAGTCAGTCTGCCTCTTCTGTTCCCCTCTCTGTCTCTGGTGAATCCTCTTACATCTTGTACCTCTGGCTTACACCCCAGTTCTTGTATGCATAAATAAATAAATCTTTAAAAAAAACTATGAGAAATAAATTCCTGCTGTTTATAAGCCTTTCCATCTGTGGTTTTCTGTTACAATAGCCCAATTATCTATCATCTATCTATCTATTCATCATATTGGCTCTGTTTTTATGGAGAAGCCTGACTAATACACCTAACTGCAATGTTTCTGCCAGCCATACCATTTGTGGATATGTTACTCATTTTCATGGTATTTCACACATTGTTTCTAAGGAACTTATTTTATGGTGACAGAATTACAGCAAAGAAACTCCTTGGTCTTGCCCAGTATCCCATCCCACAGAGGTAGATGCTATAGTAAAAAGTTAAATAACCTTGTGCAGACTCAGCAGCAGTGCTAGCCAAGAGACAACACATTGTGAGTTTGGGGTACTATCTTACAGGTTTACGGCATATGCCTTGTAATAGCAGCAAAAAATATAGTAATGTTTCTTCCACAGTTAGAATAAATAGGTTTGGGAACTAAAGTGTAGAGGTAGGATTGGTTCTTTTCACTTTTAAACCTAATAATTCATTCCTGAATTCTTGGGCTCAGTGGGTTTGAAGTACTTAGTCCCCAAGGGAGGAAAAGTTCCATTACACAGTCATTGTTCCATTACATTGGAATATGTAATGAGACCACTTTTGATCACTTGGGCCTATTCCCATTGAGCCTACAGGTAGAGAAGGAATTTCTATACCAGTCTGAGTGACTGACCTCAATTTCCCAAGGGAAATTGGGTTGCTACTATATAATAGGGAGAGGGAAGACAATTTGAAGCCCAAAAGATTCAATGAGGCACCTCACTGTATTCTCATGTACAATGATGGTCAAAGGAACATCAACAATAAAGGATGTGAATACTTTTCTTTTAAATACAATAGAAACATTTTATTAATAGCCTCAGATCATGGTGGGGCAGCAGATGGGGTGGGGTAGGCAGTGGTTGGCCCACACATCCAGGATTCAACACCAAGCTCAGCAACTCAGTCTCCCAGCCTCTTCCTGACTCCAACAGGGTAAGCTCAGCATCCTTGTGCATGGGGCCTTACACTTTGTAGATGATGGAGATACTACTGTAGTCCATGAATTCCACACACTCCTGTGTGTAATGTCCCTGTGAAAGCCGGTCCTGACCAGCACCTTGGTGAACATTCATAATGGTGGTTCAGGGGTAGTAGGGAGCAATGCTGGGATATTTTTGTTCCTATACCGGTTTGACCTCCTCTACTCAATTTTATTTCTACCTCTCGGCTCTGTCCCCAGTATACACTTTGATTCTCAATATGAATTGAATTTGCTTGGTTTCTGAGTGCACCAAACTACTTCCTATAGTCATGCATCTAATAATAAGGATGATAATACTTTGTATCATTGATGCTTAGCACAGTTAGACATCCGAAATTAGGACACTTTTATAATTGTTGTTTGCCAGTTGTTCATATATGGATTGGACTTAGCAGTTCATATGCTATCACTTCAATTGGGCTCCCTGCATAGTGCCTTTGTCATTTAATATGTCTTCAGGGCCTCCCTGGTGGCACAAGGGGTTAAGCAACAGCACTGTGAAGCTATCCCTGGCCTCTGCAGCACAAGTTCAATCCCCTGGCCAGGAAGCTGCCCACATGGCTGTCTCACCCGCTGCTCCCCTCAGTAGTGTATTTCAGTCAGTCTGCCTGTTCTGTTCCCCACTCTGTCTCTGGTGAATCTTCTTACCGCCCCCCAACCCCCACACCTCTGGCCTGTACCCCAGTTCTTGTATGCATAAATAAATAAATCTTTAAAAAAAAGTCTTCAAAGAGATTGGCCTATAATTTGCATTGAAACTAAAAGTTGTTATGTGTGCAGAAAGGCATGGAAATACAACATTGTGATATAGGTTGCAAATCTAGGTCTCAATTTATTTATTTATTTATTTAAAGATTTATTTATTTATGCATACAAGAGCTGGGGTGCAGGCCAGAGATGTGGGGAGGGTGGGTGTGAGAGGATTCACCAGAGACAGAGTGGGGAGCAGAACAGGTGGATCTACTGAAATACACTGCTGGGGGGAGCAGCAGGCAAGACAGGAGAGGTCTGCTGTGCCATGTAGGTTAGCTCCCTGGCTGGGAATGAACTCATGCTGCAGTGGCTGCTGATAGCTTCATAGTGCTGATACTTAACCCCTTGGGTTACCAGGGAGGCCCCTAGGTCTAAATATATTTAAAAGAGCTCTTTTAGGGCCTCCCCGGTGGCGCAGCGGTTGAGCGCTGAGTTGCGAAGCTGCCCGCGGCCTCTGCGGCGCCAGTTCGATCCCGGGCTGCTCCCCAGCCACCGGAGGAGGGTCCCACATGGCGCGCAGACCTCTCCTGCCGCCCGCTGCTCCCCTCAGCAGTGTACTTCGGTCCTTCTGCCTGCTCTGCTCCCTGCTCTGGCTCTGGTGAATTCTCTCACCCTCCCGCGTTTCTGACTGTACCCAGTGCATGTATAAACAAAAAACAAACAAACAAATAAATAAATAAAATAAAAACATGCCTCTATTTAAAAAAAAAAAAAATTAGTTAAAAAGAGCTCTTTTAGTAAGTATATGTAACCAATCAAAGCAATAAGAAACCATTGTCTTTAATTTCAGCATTTTCCTTTAATGTTATATAAAATAATGGTTTGTTTTATAATTGCTGGCAGCTAGACTATGGTAGCCATAATAGCTACAACAGATATTGAAGGCATTGTTGCTAAGTGCTTTCCATTTCACGCCACACATTTGTATACATGTGATAGTCTCTGGCCTTTCTTTCTTGAAAATCCACTATTTTAAGGACTGATTAAAATAATTTCCTCTCTATAAGCTCCCGAGGCATCCTAAAGATGTTAGGTCTGTTTGAACATTTCTCTGTTAACCAGCACACTTTTGGTTCCCTCTACCAACGCAGGTGTTTCTTTTGCCAGTTAAGACTGTGGCATCTTGAAGTTAAAGACCATCTTCTACACATTTTTTGCATAAAATCAGGCTGTATCTACCACAGCCTGATGCCTTTTCTAAGTATCCCACAGTGATTCCTTTGAAAGAACGAAACGATGAACAACTAAAGTTTAGCGTAGGACATGAAACACGACCTTGGATTTATTAACACATGAACTACACTTTACAAGGTTTGCAAAGTGCTTCTGCAACAGGGTGCCCTCTCCCTGTCCTATAACACTTCTGCATCATTTCATTCTATTGTCTCATCTTTGTCAGGTTGTTATCTGCATATTTGTAGTTAAGGCTACATGTTCATTAAGTGACAGTTACAGCCTGAAACTTTGTTGGTTGGCCTTTGGTCTCAGGATTCTTTTCATGCTATCACAGCTATTCAAGGATTTCTTAAAAGACGGGTAGCTTTTGGGGCCTCCCTGTTGGTGCAAGGGGTTAAGTCTCAGCACTATGAAGGAACCCACAACTACTACAGCAGGAGTTTGATCCCTGGTCAGGGAGGCGACCCACATGGCCCAGCAGACCTCTCCTGACTCTCCCACTGCTCCCCGCAGCAGTGCACTTCAGTCAATCCTGCTGTTCAGCTCCCCACTCTGTCTCTGGTGAATCCTCTCACCCACTCCCCTTCCCACCTGTACCCCAGCTCTTGTATGGATAAATAAGTCTTTTAAAATTTTTTTAAAAAGTGGGTAGCTTTTGAAAATAAGTGAGGTGGGCAGGAACGCAATTTGCATCAACATGGATGGAGCTGAAAGGGATCATGCTCAGCGAAATAAGCCAGAAAGAAAAAGAAAAATACCGGATGGTCTCACTCATAGCAGGAATTCAGAAACCTAAATAAGGGACCAGGAAAAGGGCTAATTATAATAAAGTAAAAATCAAAATCAACAAGCAGCCAGAGACACACTATGGAGGGTGGGGAGGAAGGAGTAGGGTCAAAATAAGGGGGGTGGGGAATTGTATTTTAAGGCCTGATTAAAATAATTTCCTCTCTATAAGCTCCCGAGGCATCCTGAAGATGTTAGGTCTGTTTGAACATTTCTCTGTTAACCAGCACACTTTTGGTTCCCTCTACCAACGCAGGTGTTTGTATGGGGAATACAACCAAGATGAAAATGCATACATTGTGCAAAAATGAAAAATGATGTAAAAAATATATAGGAAAAGAAAAAAAAAGGGAGAGCTCAAGGAAGCCCAAGCAACAACACTGTGAACAGCAAAAGTCCACGGGAATATTCGCTCGGCCGCTTCCTCTTATCTGAGGAGTCAAACACCCTCATGCAGCGTCAGGTTCCGCCTCCCGTCCTCCACGGGGCACCACCTTCCCCCAGCCCCTGCGCTCCGCAGCAGCCTTTCCGCCACTCTGCGACCCTGGCGAGCCCCCGAAAGCTCCCATTGGCTTGTCCAACGCCCTCCTACCGGATGTCCCGCCCCCGCTCCCCACAGGTACCGCCCCCCACGCTACCCTTGTACAGAGTGTCTCTCGTTTTCCTTCCCCCGGCGCACGAGGCGCGGGCGACCCAATACGGCCGTGCCGCGGCGGGCAGTAGAGTAGCAGGAAGCGGCCTCTCTTTCCCTCGATCGCTACTGCTTTGTGGGACTGCGGCGGGCTCCATCAGCGAAACGCGTTTTCCGCATCCCTCCACTCCTCCCCAACCCCCGCCCGCCACCTCCCCGCCTTCCGCGTCGAGTACGGAAGCCGACGGGGTCCGCGGGCAGCCATGGCGGCTCACCTGAAGAAGCGGGTGTACGAGGAATTCACTAAGGTGGTTCAGGTAAGCCCCGGAAGGAAAGAGCCCAGGACCGCCCGCGGTGGGGAAGTGCGGCCCAGGCCCAGGCACTTTGCTGCAGCGGGCGCCGCGCATGCATGGAGCGCCTGCTCCCTGGAGAGCCGAGACTACTGTGGTGGGCGTGTTCGTTTGCGTGTCATTTTTAATAAGTGCAGTCTGACAGTTAAAGTTTTTTTCAGAACACGAAGATACCACTTTGCAATTTACGAAAGTATCTTATCCGTTATCTCATTTTGTGCGGTTTGCATTAGCATCCTCTTTTTATAGACGTGGGCTTGGGAAGGACAGCAGCATGGCTGTGGTTATAGTTCATCCAGAGGAGTAACTGCCCTGACAAATCAGTCGTCCTGACACTTTTATTGCTCCTTTTCGTACAACCAAACTTCCTAGCCCATTTTAGATCTGTTTTTTCCCAGCTGCATCACTTTTTACTCCCTTTCTTTATGTTTCGTGAGAACACTTTTGTAGCATGTTCCCATTGTCTGTAGGAAAATCAATCTGCTCCTTATTCTCATTTTTTCTTAAAATAACCTTAAGATTTAACTGCCTCTCTCGTTTCTTTTGTATTGTGAAATTAGCTTTCTAAAACTTTTGATTGAGTCAGGGTGTTTGAGGGAAGTTTTCTGACTTTACTGCCTCTTCTGTGGCTTACTTTTGGGATTTCTTGGCTCTGTTTACTTTGCCCACTTAAAAGAATTGTAAAATGTACATAACATAAATGTACCATTTTCACTATCTTAAGTGTACAGTTCACTGGCATTAAGAACATTCACATTGTTGTATAGTGTCTTTTTTCTTTCCAACATCTGTTATTTTCATTTCTCAAGACTTCTTGCCACTCCCCCAACATGGCATGTGCTTGCACTTCTCCAAACATTTGTTGTAGAACGTTCATTTGTCCCTTTTTCCATCTGATAGAATTATACTTTTGCTTGAAAACCCAATCGAAACCTCAGCAAGTGTTTAATCTCTTCCTCCTTTTTAATCAATCCTTTGTACTCACCTGTTGATTATACTTCTCACTTAGTGCTGCTGTGATGACCAGTGTCCATGTCTCTCCACTAATTTCAGCTCCTGTAGGGCAGAGGTAACATCTAATAGTACCTGACTATTAAAATATCATTAATAGTAGAATGATAGCAGATAATGTCCCCCTTGCACAGTCTCTAAGGAAAAAAACTACTTCCTAGCTTTTGACCTAGTTGCAGTCTAGATTGAATTTGTCAATTTGTGTGGAATAAGATGGGAATAGGTAAGGATTTTAAGGAAAGAATCAATTTATTCATTCTGCATGAATGAATAATAGGGTGATGAAAGAGCCTAGTGTTTCTGTTCTTTTTCCTCTGCTGTGAAGATGAGGAGGGAGAGAGAACTGATACGTATCTAATGCTTAGTTGGAATATGTGCAATAAAGATATTATACTTTATTCCTGTTTTGTAAAAGGCCTCCCTTAGGTAGTAAGTAGTTATTGAACCCAAATTCCTCTGACTTCAAAGCCCTTGTTTATTTGTTTTTATCATGCCATACTATATTCCTGTGGAGATGAACACTAATCTCTTTTCTGTACAAGTGTAAATTTGTCAGAAAGTGAATGCTGAGGATATCAAAATGATGTATTAGATGTTAAGGAAAATTATTGATTACATTTCTCTGTGAGCCCCTCTATTTCTACCCATCCTGGAGTGACAGATGCTCTTTTTCATGAGCTTTTTTGCATCCATTGTTTACAATGAATGCACTTAGAATGGTCTAGTTATGCACCATCCTTAGAAGAATTAGAAGTCACTCAAATAATTTTGCATGTTCTATGGTTCAACTCAAGATCTTTGAGAAAGCCTGGCGGTAGGTGTCATCATTTCTGTTTCACTTATGAGAAAAACTAAGTATCATGAGCAGCAGAGTTGGAACTCAGAGGCAACTTCTAATTCCTGAAGTTTCACGACTGGATCAGTTATTTATTTATTTATTTTAAAGGTTTATTTATTTATGCATACAAGAACTGGGGTACAGGCCAGAGGTGTGGGGGTTGAGAAGATTCACCAGAGACAAAGTGGGGAACAGAACAGGCATACTGACTGAAATACACTGCTGAGGGGAGCAGTGGGCAAGACAGGAGAGATTTGCTGCATCATGTGGGTAGCTCTCTGGCAGGCTGGGATCAAACTCGTGCTGCAGAGGCTGCAGATAGCTTCACAGTGCTGTGCTTGACCCCTTGCCCCACCAGGGATGCCCATAGACTCTGCATTTTCAAGTCTTATCTTTTTTACTCTCTTTCAGCAACAACAGGAGGAAATTGCTACTAAGAAACTCCGGCTGACAAAACCGAGTAAATCTGCAGCTCTCCACATAGATCTGTGTAAAGCTACCTCTCCAGCAGATGCTTTGCAGTACCTACTCCAGTTTGCCAGGAAGCCTGTTGAGGCAGAAAGTGTGGAAGGAGTAGTCAGAATTCTCTTGGAACATTTTTATAAGGTAAGAAGGTCTTGAGAACCTAATGGTAGTATGTATAAGACTTGTGTCATACCCACAGATTGGATTAAGATTGTGTGACAAAACAGGTGTTCATTAAGCAAGCTTTCACTGAGTATCTTCCATGTGCCATGTACTGTGGATGAAGATAAAAAAGTTCCAAATTCTACCCTCAGTAACTTAAAGTGCTTTGATAGACACAGATGTGAATAAGGTCTGTTGTATTGCCGAGGGGACTGTGAGTATAAAATGTACAGTGGGAGCACAGAGGAAGTGTTCCTATCAACCACCACCCCCCTTTTTATGATTGTTCCCAAAATGTGTTTTCGAGATATTCTGAAATATAGTTCCCCAAACAGAAAATGAAATTCACGAAATGTGTTTATTTTCAGTTTATGTAAGTGACATCTGAAATAAAAGAAGAAATAATTTTCAAATAGTGGAATCATCGATGGATTACACATTTAACTTTAGTATGAAAATTATTTTTAAACTTACAGAAAAGTAGATTTAATACCATAATGAGCTGCCAAATACCATCTTTGGGATTTAAGTTTCTAATATGTTGCTAAATTTGTTCCTTTTATTGATTTCCTGAGGTTTTTTTGAAGTGTCTTATTTCCCTAAACAGTAAATATTCCCAAAAAGGGACATCTTTTTAAAATTTTTATTTTTATTATTATTTTTTTGAGATGTATTGACATGCAACTTTATATTAATTTCCCTTTTTCAACATCCTCTCTAATACTTGTTATTTCTTATCTTTTCGGTACTAGCCTTTCTAATGAGTATTTTTGATTTGTATTCCCCTGATGATTAGTTATGTTTTCATGTACCAGTAGGTGATCTGTATGTCTTTTTTTTGGAAAATGTGTGTTGCCCTCTACCCAATTTTAAAATTGTTTTCTTGCTATTGAGTCATTTGAATTCTTCATCTATTTTAAGTATTAACCTCTTGTCAGATATACTATTTGTATATATTTTCTCCTATCCCATAGGTTACCTTTTCATTTTGTTAATGGTTTCCTTTGCTTTGCAAAAGTTTTCTAGTTTGATGTCGTTTCACTTGTTACGATCTCCAAAATATCCAAAATAATCAAAAAGATCTATGTCAGGGAACTTACCACCCTTTTTTTCCCCTAGGAATTTTATGGTTTTGGGTCTTACATTCAAGTCTTTAATCTTTTTGAGTTAGTTTTTTTTTTTTTTTTTTTTTTTTAATTTTCTAGAGGCATGTCTTATTTATCTATTTGTTTGTTTGTTTGTTTGGTTGGTTTATACATGCACTGGGTACAGTCAGAAGCCGGGAGGGCGAGAGAATTCACCAGAGCCAGAGCGGGGAGCAGAGCAGGCAGAAGGACCGAAGTACACTGCTGAGGGGAGCAGCGGGCGGCAGGAGAGGTCTGCGCGCCATGTGGGACCCTCCTTCGGTGGCTGGGGAGCAGCCGGGGATCGAACTGGCGCCGCAGAGGCCGCGGGCAGCTTCGCAACCCAGCACTCAACCGCTGCGCCACCTGGGAGGCCCTTGAGTTAGTTTTTGTGTATGGTGTAAAAGAGTGGCCTAGTTTCATTCTTTTGCATGTGGCCAGTTTTCCCAATATTACTCAACAGACTGTCCTTTTACCAGTCTTTTTTGGACTCCTTTGTCTAAATTAATTGACCATATACATGTGTTTATTTCTGGGTTCTATATTCTTTTCCATTGATCTATGTGTCTATTTTTGTGACAGTATCATACTGTTAGAGTACTATAACTTTGTGATATAGTTTGAAATCAAGGAGTATGATGTCCACAGCTTTGTTCTTTCTCAGCATCTTTTCCCCCCTTTTTTAAATCATAAATACCTAATCACATAGAATAAAATTAAATGTTTCCTTAGTATAATCTAACAACCAGTCCATATTCACATTTTCCTGATTGTTCCCAAAAGGTGTTTTTATGGTTGATTTGTTCAAATCAAAATTGAGGTTAAGACCTACCTGTAGTGCTTGGTCTTTTTAAAATCTATAATAATTTTTATTGTTTTCTGGCATTAATATGGCATTAACATAACAGTTGTTTTGTGAAATGTCTTATTTTATGAATTTGTTTACTTCCTTAGGGATTAACTTCCCCTTCTATTCCTTATATTTACTATGAATTTGGAATTGTATCTGCTCGTTTTCTTAGGTCAAGGTTAGCACATTTTTGACAATTTTAGGTGATGATTTGTACTTCATATTGCATTTATCAGGAGGCATGTCTTGAAGTCTCACCTTGCAAAAGTTTATCTTTTTCTTTTCAGCCTCTTCTATAAAAATTATCTTTATTTAGATCTTTTACATAAGACATAAAGTTCTCTCCTTTACATATATAATATTCTAGCATAATTAAAATGCTTCCAGTTTTCCAAAGACCTTGTATTTTCAGGAATCTGATTTTTCACATGCTGTTTCCTCACCTGGGAAGAGTTGAATCCCTTCTCCATGCCACTGCCCTATGGTCTGGTCTGCCATTTTCTCTGCCAAGTATATACCATCCTCAGTGTCTTTCCACTTACTTCTGCCTGAAACATTTCCCTCAGATGTTTGTTTGTTCCATATTTCATTCAAGTCTTTACTCAAACACCACTTTCTCATTAAAGCTTTCTTTTATCCTTCTATTTAAAATTGAAACTCCCTACTTAACCCCAGCCCTTCCTAGCTCCCTTCCTTGATTTTGTTCTCTCCATAGCACTTAGCATCTTCTAATAGTCTATTTAATTTTCTTTATTTTCTTTTCTTTCTTTCTTTTTTCTTTTTGTGGGACCCTTGCCGGTGGCCGGGCAACGAACCGTGCCTGCAGAGGCTGCAGGCAGCCTCTCAGCCCAGCACTCAACCGCTGCGCCACCAAGGGAGGCCCTCTATTTAATTTTCTTGAAGGTTGTTCTGCTGTTTCTTTTCTTTCAGTACTTTAAACATGCCATTGTATCATCTTTTACCTTTTGTTGTTTTTATTGAGAAGTCAGATGTTAGTGTTGTTGATTCCTTGAGGAGTAATTTGGGTTTTTTGTGGCTGCTTTTAGAGGTTTTTTTGCTTGCTATGGGTCTCAGCAGTTTTTCTGTAATGTTCCTACCTGTAGCTTTCTTGTCATTTACCCTGTTTGGGGTTTGTAATGTTGCTGGAGGCCAAGATATAGCCCCTCATTGCATAAGAGCTAATACAGGGGGAATAAGGTTTGGTATAAGGAAAGCAGTTTTAATCAGGTGCCGGTGACTTGAGAAGATTAGTCCCCAAAACCTGTCTTGCCTCCTCAGGGTCAGTGAGATGATTATATGGGAAGGCCAGGTTCACATGGACTGACTTGCTGGTGTCTTTGGTTGCTTTTCTCTCAGTGGAGTGTGTCTTGTTAAGGTTTTTAGCCAACACCACCACTCTTTTGAAGAATTTACTATTCTGACAAGTGCTGGAATTAGCTAGTTCCTGCTGTGAGACTTTATGATTAGGATAGGAGAGCTAGCTCCTGGTTTCTATGTGATTTGGATTTCTGGATTTTCAGTTCCCGGCCAGTCTTGGAGCGCAGCTCAAGGTTGGCTGGTAAGTTTTCAGCCTTTGCTGACAGTGTCTGTAAAAGCAAGTCTCAAAGAGAAAGTTGGATAGCCTCCCCACCTTTATTTTTTTTGCTCCTAGGTCCTGAAAGCAATTAAAACCTCAAGACTTGGTCTCAGTAATACTTGTTTTATTATCTGTGACTTGGTACCTTTTGTCAGAAAGATTCTGACAAAAGCGTTTGCTTGTTTCATTTTCTCCCTGTTCTCTTTTTGGGACTCTAATTACATATATAATAAATCATCTCATTTTATTCTGTTCCTTTCTCTTCTGAATTTTTATTCTTCTTTCTACTTCTCCTTCATTCTGGACCTGTCTTACAGTTCAGTAATTTTCTTTCACCTTGTCTAAAATGCTGTTAAGCCTATCTTTTGGTTCTTAATTCTTTTATTGCTTTTTATCATTTGTAAGCTTTTTGAATAGACATTTCTGTTGAAATTCTTAATTTTCTCTCCTCTCTCTGAATATAGTGAACAGAATTATTTTAAAGTTGGTGTTTTGATAACACCAGTAAATGGAGTAACTGTGGGTATGTCTAACCTTGTTTATTCATGTTCTCTGATCTAATGTGCCTTGTTTCTTATTGTATTAGACAGTGTATTTCTAAAATTGTTTGTAAAAATAATTTCAGACTTAAGATGATTTAACTTTTTTTTTTTAAAAGATTTATTTATTTATGCATACAAGAGCTAGGGTACAGGCCAGAGGTAGGGGGAGGGTGAGAGGATTCACCAGAGACAGAGTGGGGAGCAGAATAGGCAGATTGACTGAAGTACACTGCTGAGGGGAGCAGCGGGCGAGACAGGAGAGGTCTGCCATGCCATGTGGGTGCTCCCTGGCTGGCCGGGAATAGAACTCCGTGCTGCAGTGTTTGTTTGTTTGTTTGTTTTGTTTATACATGCACTGGGTACAGTCAGAAGCGCAGGAGGGTGAGAGAATTCACCAGAGCCAGAGCGGGGAGCAGAGCAGGCAGAAGGACCGAAGTACACTGCTGAGGGGAGCAGCGGGCGGCAGGAGAATCTGCGCGCCATGTGGGACCCTCCTCTGGTGGCCAGGGAGCAGCCGGGGATCGAACCGGCACTGCAGAGGCCGCGGGGAGCTTCGCAACCCAGTGCTCAACCACTGCGCCACAGGGGAGGCCCTAGAGTTTTCATATTGTTTTGATAAATACCTAATAGAGGTGTTTCTAGATCATATTGAATTCCCATTTTTATTTTCTTAAAAAATCTGCATGCTATTTTCCACAGGGTCTGCACCAATTAACATCCCACAAGCAGTGGATGAGAGCTCCTTTTTCACCACAATCTCATCAACATTTGTTGATTCCATTCTTTTTATCTGGGCCATTCTTGCAGGGATGAGGTGGTATCCCATTGTGGTTTTGATTTGCATTTTCCTTATAATAAGTGATGTTGAACAATTTTCTTATGTCTGTAAGCAATGCGAATGTCTCCTTTAGAAAATGTCTATCAATAGGTCTTTAACCCATATTTTTATTGTGTGCATTTTTTTGTTATTGTTGTTGGATTGTATCCGAATTTTGTAAATTTTGGAGATTAGCCCCTTGTCAAATATGTGATGCTCAATATTTTTTTCCATTCTGTAGTTTGCCTTTTGTTTTTTTTTTTTTTTTTTTGATGGTTTCTGTTGAAGTACAGAAGCTTTTTAGTTTGATGTAGCTTACTTTTGGTTTTGTTTCCCTTGCTATTGGGATTGAGTCTGTGAATATATCTCTGTGGTGGATGTCCTCCATTTTGAATTAGTTTTTATGTATGGAGTTAAGTATGGGCCTCATTTCAAAACATTACTATCCACATTTCCCAACACCATTTATTAAAGAGGCTATCTTTTCTCCATTGTGTGGTCTTACTCCTTTGTCAAAGATTAACTGTCCTTATTTGTGTGGTTTTAACCACTTTTTTTTTTTAAGATTTATTTATTTATTTATACAAGCACTGGGTACAGTCAGAAGCGTGGGAGGGTGAGAGAATTCACCAGAGCCAGAGCAGGGAACAGAACAGGCAGACCGACGAAATACACTGCTAAGGGGAACAGCAGGCGGCAGGAGAGGGCTGCGCGCCTTGCGGGACCCTCACCGGTGGCCGGGGATCGAACCTGCGCTGCAGAGGCTGCGGGCAGCTTCGCAAGCCAGCGCTCAACCACTGCGCCCCCAGGGGAGGCCCCCATATTTGTGTGTTTTTATTTGTGGGCTTTCTATTTTGTTCTGTTGATCTAAGCTTCTATTTTTGTTCCAATACAATGCTGTTTTGATTCCTGTTATTGTATAATATAGTTTGAAGTCAGAATATGTGATGCCTCCATTTTTCTTCTTTTCTCTCGGGATTGCTTTAGCTATTCAGGTCTTATATAAGTCAATGTAATTTTATAATTGTCCTGTTTCCTGGAAAAAAGTCATTGGTATTTTGATAGATATTGCATCAAATCTATAAATTGCTTTAGGTGATATGACCATTTTAATTATATTAATTCTTCTAACCTGTGAGCTTGGGGTAGCTTTCCATTTCTTTGTGTCTTCCTTTAACAGAGTTTAACAATTTTCAGCATATAGGTCCTTCATCTCTTTCATTAGGCTTACTCCTGGTATTTTATTATTTTTGGTGTTTGTTAGAAGAAATAGAAATTTCTTCAATAGCTATGTTGTATATAGAAATACAGCTGATTTTTGTGTATTGATTTTGTATCCTACCAATTTACTGTATTGCTTTATTCTAGTAATTTTTTTGGCAGAGTATTTTGGATTCTCTAAATGTATTAACATGTCACCTGCAAACGGTGACACTTTCACTTTTCCAATTTGGATTCCTGTTATGTTATTTTCTTGCCTAATGGCTTTGACAATGACTTCCAATACTATGAAGCTGACTTGATTGTGGTGGATGATTCTCTCGATAAGTTGCTGTATTCAATGTGCTAGAATTTTGTTGAGGATTTTTGCATATGTATTCATCACATATATTGGTTTGTGATTTTCTTCTCTTGTGCTATCTTTGTTTGGTTTTGACATCAAGGTAATGTGTTGGGGATCATATACTATGTTGGGGAGTTTTCCTCTCTGATGTTTTGAAAGAGTGTGAACAGGATACATATTAGATCTTCTCTGAAGATTTGGTAGAACTCATTGGAGAAGTCATCTTGTCCTGAACCTTTGTCCTTAAGGAGACTCTTTGTTTTTCAGTTTCAGCTCCTGTGATTAGACCATTTAAGCTGTCTATTTCAGGGCCTCACTGGTGGCACAAGGGGTTAAGACGCAACCTATGAAGCTGTCTGCAGCCACTGCAGCATGAATTCGATCCCCAGCCAGGGAGCTACCCACATGGCACAGCAGACCTCTCCTGACTTGCCTGCTGCTCCCCTCAGCAGTGTATTTCAGTCAATTTGCCTGTTCTGTTCCCTACTCTGTCTATGGTGAATCCGCTTACCTTCCACACCTCTGGCCTGTACCCCAGTTCTTGTATACATAAATAAATAAATCTTTTTTTAAAAATAAGCTGTCTGTTTCAGCCTGATTCAATATTGGGAAGTTATATGAATCTAAAAATTTGTTCATGTCTTCTAAGTTGTTTGCATAGGGACTTTTATAATAGGTTCTTATGAGCCTCTGTATTTCTGCAATCTCTGTTGTAATTTTGCCTTATTCCTGATTCTATTGATTTGAAGTTTCTCTCTTTAATTCCAGATAATGGCCAAAAAAGCAGGTGGAATGAAAGATTCTTTTGGTGTTAGCCATGGGAGCTTTAGCATCAGTTTTCAGGGGCTCCCAGAGCAGTGATCCTTGCAGCATTGGTGGTGAAAGTTGCCATAACTCATGTCTAACTTCACTGCACAGTGGAGGAAAAAACTACTTTTAATTCCCAAAGCACATTTCTGTTTGGAAGTTAATGACATCAAGAAGGCATAAAAAAAAAAACTCTCATTCACTTTACAGTATGTAGGTGTAACATATTGATTGAGAAAAGCTCTTTTCCTTGAAGGATATAAAGTTAATTTTTCAGAAATAAAGTCTTAGAAATACTTGGATCATTGATCTGTTTTGAAATGTTTCCCATGTTCCTCTCTGATGGTTAGCTGAGTGTGGAGTACAAGGTAACAATAGCTTCTTTTGTTCCAGGAGAATGATCCTTCTGTGAGACTGAAAATCGCATCTTTGTTGGGTTTGTTATCAAAGACTGCAGGATTTTCACCAGACTGCATTATGGATGATGCCATTAACATCCTGCAGAATGAAAGTAAGTTGCACTTTAAAAGCTATAGTATCTTTCATTCCTTTTCTGTAAAATTTATAAAAAAATTTTGTTGTTGGTATTGAATAGGAATTTGAGGATGATTCAGTAAAACCATGAACATGTATTTACAGTTAAAATGCAATTTTGTCTCTAATAATTATGAAGTACCACATACTTGAGGTAGTTTGCATATGCTACAGGATAGTTATTGCCTGTAGGAGGAGAAACTGAAGCTCAAAGAAGTTAAGGGACTTGTTCAACTTTACATAGTATGTTGCAGAGCTGATGTTTTGTTGATTGTGCTACACTGATTCAGAAATTGTGAGAGGTGCTGCTTGGTCACAAGGTCGGTCCCTGACTGTTTAGCTCCTGTAAAAATAACATCTCCCAGACCTCACATGTTGCTTTTTCTATTTAAATGTTCCTTCTTGATACTCACTAAAATTTTTATTAGCATTTAGGTGAAATGGAGAACTCCTTCACCTTTAAATTTTTTTTTTATTATCTGGTCTTATTTAAGTATAAGATTATGTTAATTGCTGTTTCTGAACATATAGTTTTGTGTGAGTTGGTTGTAATTTCAAAGAGTAGTTTTAATTCATTGGCTGTTTAAATAATGGAAAACATTTGGTCTATAAACGTAAGAGATTGTGGCAGTTATAAATTTCAAGTCAGCACAAAAACAATCTTAAATTCACTATTGACAGGGAAGGGAAGAGCACAAGAGACTGGTGACAGTTCATGGGTGATTTGGTGGTGGCACTTTTATGGGGATAACACCTGAGAGGAGAAATCAAACACTGTATAAAAATGAATGATATAAAAAATATGTATATAAATAAACATGTTAAATTCAAATTTCATTTATTATACAACTTTTTAGTGATAATATCTTACATATATCTTACAATGTCTGAAGTTCAGAATTTTTAGAGTTTTGTTAAACAGCCTTATATTAAAATTTACTTGTATTGAATTTTGACTTTTAATTCATAAGAAACAATGAAAGTAACTTTTTTCCCCTAACAGGGGAGTCTGTTCTATTGAAATACCAATAAAATGACATTAAAGAAAAAAAAAGTAAAAATATTCCTACTACTTCCATAAAACAATTTGTTCTGATTACTACCTTTTACTCATATACATTTTATATGGTTGTACTTACAGTGAGTGTACTATTTTGTGTTTTACTCTACTTACTTAACATTACATATTTTTTCATGTTTCTATATTACCTTGATAATATTTGTGGTGTTAAATACCAACAGGTATAGTGGCATGTTTCTAAAAATTTCATTTAAAAGTGTCAAAACAATTACATTGCCTCAGTACAAGAGTATCCTTTTTCATGGTTGCTAGCTCTATACCTGGAAGAATATCATACTTTAAGACTGGGGATTTCATAGAGCCTAGGCTTTTTGAGCTATAAATAACTTTATAGAGGTCATCTTGTCTAATTCCTTCATTTTGCAGATGACAAAAACTAAGTCCCAGAGGTGCGAAGTGTTGAAATAAGTTCATTTAGCTAAGAAGTTGCAGAATTTAGAAGTTAGTACAGAGGCCACCCTGGTGGTGCAAGAGGTTAAGAACCAACCTATGAAGCTCACCGGAGCCACTATAGCACAAGTTCGATCATCAGCCAGGGAGGTGACCCACATGGCGCAGCAGACCTCTCCTGACTCGCCTGCTGCTCCCCTCAGGAGTGTATTTCAATTGATCTGCCTGTTCTGTTCCCCACTCTGTCTCTAGTGAATCCTCTCACCCCGCCCTGCCCCCCCCCCAAAAAAGCTCTGGCCTGTACCCTGGTTCTTGTATGTATAAATAAATCTTAAAAAAAATAAAAAAAAAAAGAAGTTAGTACAGGGCTCTTTTTATAGACCTGGTTTAACTTTACCTCTACAAAAGAGACATCATAAGAAAGAGTGAGTTTTGATGCAAACCCCATTTTAGCCTTTAAAAGAGACTCAAATTGTGCACTCTATATGGCAAATGACTTTTATTTTTTGTTAAGTATTTTAGTTCTCTTAATTGTCTCGAAGAAATTGATGTAGGTCTCTTCCTGATTTCCATTTCCTGGTCTGCTTAGATTATAGAATATAGAACTGGAAGGGACCATCAAGATCAAGATTCTCTAGTTCTTTATTTCATACCTGAACAATATGAACTCCAGGGAGGTAAAGTGACTGCTAAAGTAACTCTGTATTTGTGGCTTAGAATTAAGCCACAGACTTAGAATGATGAGTCTCCTGATTATCAGTCTAATAAGCACTTTCCACACTCTAGACCAGTATTCTTATTTCAACTCATCAGATATACGAGTGCTGTAACTCCTTGGCAAGCACTGGGCTAGGCACTTTGAGAGTACTATAAATACTGCTTCCCTAGTGCATATTACACTGCTAATGTTAACACAAAGCTTGTTGGGTTTTTTTTTTAAAGATTTATTTATGCACATTAGAATGGGGGTGTAAGCCAGAGATGTGGGGGGTGAGAGGATTCTTTGGAGACAGAGTGAAGAGCATAACAGGCAGATCCACTGAAATACACTGCTGAGGGGAGCAGCCGGCGAGACAGGAGAGGTCTGCTGCGCCATGTGGGTTGCTCCCTGGCCGGCTGGGGATGGAACTCATGCTGCAGTGGCTGGTGATAGCTTGATAGCGCTGTCTTTAACTCCTGCATCACCAGGGAGGCACAACACGAAGCTTGTTTTAAAGGAGATATAGTCAGAATACTGTGGGAATAAGGAGAGTGAGATCATTGTTGACTGGTGGGATCAAGGAGGGCTTAGCGAATAGATGGGCAGGAGTAGAGTAATGCCAAGAAGGAATAGTATAATAAAAGGTAGAGAGCTCGGATAGTACAAGAGATATTTAAAGAACTGAATTGTCTCGTGAGACAAGGGAAGAGGGGCCTTTAGGAAGAGGCGCCTTTAGGAAGAAAAACAGTTATAAACTGTTCTGAAGCCACTGGGTAGCTGAGGATTTTGCATTTTACTTTGTAGGCAGTGGGAACCTGTAGTTCCTATAAAAGTAACTAAAAAAGTAAAATTTATTTTGCATAAGGGCATGAAATAATCAAGTTTAGTTTTAGAAAGATAATTTAACAGCTCTGAGGGATTTGGTTTAATGAACAAGGTGGTTTCAAGAAAAGATGTTGTGGATTCCCTTAATGTCCTTGTGGGGATGTCCATCATACCTGCAGTAGCAATGTAGGCCTGGAACTCAGGAGAGGCTAGGCTTAAGTTAGATAAGATTTATGACTACTGAGTTAAATTTTAAGAGATTTAGCTAGCTTTTCATGGACGTTATGTAGAATCGTCTTTTTGAAAATCAAAATGATCTCATGGTGTGGTGGTGTTGGAGATTTCTTCCTCTCTACTATGTTCTCTAAGTAACTAAGTTTCTTCTGTGGCCTCTTTCATTTTAGAGATTTTTCTTGATGTCTTGAATTTATTTATTTGAGTCAGAAAATTATTTTAATAGTTATAAAACATTTTTTTTTACAGAATCAGTATAAAATAGCAGTTGATTTCTCCATAATTATCAGAATTATTTATACTTGAGGGCTTGGTTAAGTAGGGCTGAAATCAACCAAACGTCTTAGACTGTTGGCTCAGAAATCATTTGTGGATGTCCACCTTGCCAATGTCTGTCATCCTTTACTCCTCTGAGATGATTCACTCCTTTTAAAAACAGTATCCTCTTATTCATTCTTTGGAGGCTTGAAGTGAATTCGGCAGCGTTCATTAAACACCTTCCAGCTCCTGTCATTTACCGCTTCTTCAACATTTGGTTGTGATTTCATCCATTTCAACTTTGTCTGTTCTTTTCTAAGTTGCTTTAATAACGTTAAATCATCCAAATTCTTTTCTCTCTCTTCTCGGAGCTGTTTTACTACAGATGAGGTCTGAGCTGTACAGTTTTTTATAACTCTGTCCCTACTGTCATGAGCCTCCATCTAAGACTCATAAAGTTGTTTACAGGTTTGGCTGGCATCAGTTTTCCCTGCAGAGGAAGCTGTTGGAACTGTTGTGTTTAATTCATGTACTATTCTGTCATCAATCGTCCTCATCACCTTGAGTAATTCCTGGAACTCGGCGCACTCCTCACAGTTCACACCGCCACTGGGCACTGCCATATTGGACCAATGTCTTGCATTCAAATTTAAGATGAGGGCCTTCCTGGTGGCACAGGGGGTTGCAGTCTTGTAGCACAAGTTCAATCCCTGGCCAAAGGAGCTAAACCAGATGGCACAGCACCACTCCCATCTCACCTGCTGCTCCCCTCAGCAGTGTATTTCAGTAGATCCGCCTGTTCTGCTCCCCACTCTGTCTCTGTCTCTTTCACCCCCTGCACCTCTGGCCTACACCCCAGCTCTTGTATGCATAAATAAATAAAATAACCCTTAAAAAAATAAATTCAAGATGAGGTACTGAAAAACTGATGGTAGTTCTGTATGAATGAATAGGGTTTATCACGTGGTAACTTCTACTCTAGGATGATCTTTATGTCTTTTGGAGAAATTTTAAATTTTACTGTGTTTTGGTGTTTTCTTGTAGCGCCTATCAGTTCGAAATTCATAACTGTTCTGCTAGGAAGACAAAAATGCCCAACTGCTATGTTTTTGGAGCCAAATCAGCTGAAGGGGGCTGGGAAGTGCCATCTCCTCTTCTTTCACTGTATCTGCTCCCTTTCCTCATTTAGCGTTTCCCAGATTGAATTCTATATATTTATTTAGCCTTACAAAGCAGTTGATCTATTTTTTGGCATTAAGAAAGCATTCCTGGGCCTCCCCAGTGGCGCGGCGGTTGAGTACTGGGTTGCAAAGCTGCCCGCAGCCTCTGCAGCACTGGTTTGATTCCCGGCCACCGGCGAGGGTCCCACATGGTGCACAGACCTCTCCTGCTGTCCGCTGCTCCCCTCAGCAGTGTACTTCGTCAGTCGGTCTGCTCTGCTCTCTCCTCTGGCTCTGGTGAATTCTCTCACCCTCCCGCGCTTCTGACTGTACCCAGTGCTTGTATAAATAAATAAATAAATCTTTAAAAAAAAAAAAAAAGAATGGCTTTTTAAAAAAAGAAAGCATTCCTTTAAGCAAGGGGTGGGGGGAGAAAAATTAAAAATAAAAAAAATAAACAAGGAGGGGACTATGTAGGGTAAATGATTGTCAGGCTTTTCTGCCCTCCTGCCATTAGGATTGATGATGGATCCCTGCGGTCCTGAATGCATGCCTGATGGCGGGTCCCTGGAGTAGGGTGTGGGCATATGTAGGTGGGATTCACCTGGGCTGAGACTGGGCCTATAAAGGGGGGGCGGGGAGGGCGTCACAGGGATGCCAGAAGAAAGCAAGAGAGCAGAACAGAGTGACTGGAAGGAGAAGAACAAGCAAGAGACCAGAAGAGAACCAGCAGCGAAGCAGAGGCCACGAGAGAATGCCGGAGAGCCCAGAAAGAATGAAGATTCACTGCCATGTACCTGGTAAAATCCCAATAAAAGCCTGAAAAAGCCACTGAGGGCTCCAGGACTCCTCCTTCACGCATCTGCTTGGATCATAGAGAACCTGCGCTGTGCCTTTCTTGCCCCTACAGGGACCGTGAACACTAAAGTCTCACATCCTCTGTACATAGCCTAATTAGACAGGAGCAAGGATTTGAGTTAAATAAATTAAACCCAGTGTCCAACTACAAGATAATGGAGGAAAAGCTTAGGTGGTGGGTGGGGGGATGGGGAAGGGTAGGGTGTGATGGGGGAATGCAGCTTAAAGTTCTTATTGTTGGTATTACAGGGTTTCTGGCATAAGACTCTTACCAGTTCCCTAACACAGCACAAAACAACTTCCTATGGTATCCCCTCCGCCTCCCCCAAGGCAGTTACTTAATTATTCAATAGTCCAGTTGTAGGAGGCAGGAATGGACAAAATTTTATAATAAGATATAAGGTCAGGAACAGGACACAGTGCAGGTTTTCTGATCCCATGCAGACCGGGTAAAGGAGGAGTCAGAGTCCTCAGTGGTTTTGCAGGTTTTTATTGGGGTTCAGCGGGTACGTGGCAGGCAGGGGTGCTGGGGGGCTGGGAGGCTGGCAGTCCTCCCAGCCTCCAGCAAATCTTCACTATCTGGGCTCTCTGGCGTTCTCTGCTTCTGTTTCGGGCTTCTTCTCTTTCGGCTTCTACTGGCGTCCCCATGACACCACCCTTAAAAGCACAGTCTTAGCACAGGTGTACCCACTTCAGGTGCCCGCCATCAGGCATGCATTCAGGATCACAGGGTTCCCTCATCTATCCTGATGGCAGGAGGGCAGAAAAGCCTGATTTTTTACCTTACCCTACACCAGTGTTTTGGTTATGTGCAGAGTCTGCAGCTGAGGAGCCAAGTTCTTAAGAATGGATGATTGGTTGACACACTCTAGGGGAGAGAGTGCTCATGGGATCTCAAGCATCAGATCTTGGTCTTCCTGTTGGTAAAATGCAGCCATGGCAAAACCTGCTAGGCATCCAGATCGAAGTCTTTGTGCTCCTCATTGTACTTCTGCAAATGCATCTTAATCTTGGAAGCGTTGACCCAGCTGACAGTGTGCTCCATGCTGTGCATGACAAGGAAGGTGGGGATGGTGGGTAAGCATGTCCAGGCCCACTCATACGTGGCTGTCCTCTGCAAATGCCTCAGTGCTGCCCCGTCCACAGCTTGAGGAGCACAGTGGACAGGTGTCAGTGGCACAGCAGAAGGTCCAGGCGGCGACCGAGTTGCACAGCTCTAGAGAGCTGCACCAAATTGAGAGCTTATGGAACCTCCAGCAAGAGGGCCGAAACATGCACATGAAACTGTCTAGCTCGGGCAGCTAGTGCAGGTGCTGTGCTAGCTCGACCTCGACACTGCCTAGCTGGTTGTAGCACGTGTAGTCCTCGCCACTACAGCGGCACAGCTGGAGCAGTTCACGCAAGTTGTGGTTAGTGACCTCCCACTTCGGGAAATCCACCTGCTCCAGCAGCTTCTGCTTATGCAACTTAAGCTTCCACACTATAGTGACAACTTCTAGAAAGACAGGGCCCGGGGCAGAGAAGAAGCTCCCAGTCTCCCCAAATTGAATTCTTCCTAGTCCGATTTTAATGTAGAATAAATCCCGTTTCAGTGGTCACTTGGTTGTGTTGAATCATAAAGGAGGAGGGGTCCAGTTGCTTCTTATAGAGACTTCAAACAAATCCATGCCTCTCTCCTCCACCTCCCCTTTTTCGTTTGTTTTTCTAAATCTCCAATTCCTCAATCTTACTGGGGTGTAATGGCTAGAATTTATTTGCTTTGTTCTGATAATAATCCTCAGTAGGCATTTAATATTCGATTTCTCAGTCTTGCCAGAGTTTTTGATCTGCTTTCTGCCTCCATAAATTTGTTGACTTTTCTCATCTACTTACTTTTTTATTGTTTCTTTATTCTTGTAGGTTTATACTTTTAAAATTCTCTTATTAAATGTGAGGTAGTAGAAAGGACTAGAGATAAACAGATGTGTTCAATCTACTAATGTTTAACTGGAAATCTTACTGAAGTGATTTAACTGGTGTTTTTGAATGTTACTAATTTATATTTCAGATCTAGCATTTTTGACTTATTTGCTTCACACTATACTATGGTTTACTTGATGTTTTACTAAAGTGGACAGTTTTCACTAGACATTTTTTATATGGTAGTAATCTAAAATGAAATTAGTGTCATGTGATATCTATAGGGGTTAACTCTAATTTTTAATATGTATATTTTAAATATGCATGGTTATTTACATAAAAAGATGATCTGAATGCCACCTAAAATCCTCTTGTATACCACCAGCATTACATGAGCCATATTTTAGAACAAAGACAAGAATTTAAACGCAGAGAGCCTGGCTAAGAAGATTGATATTGTTTTATTTGGATGTAGCTCTTTGCACATTTACAAAACATTCATTGAGTATTAATAAATCATAGAATCTGAGAACATAGGGCCTCCCCGGTGGTGCAGCGGGTTGAGCCCAGCGCTGTGTGGCTGTCCATGGCCTCTGCAGTGCGGGTTCGATTCCTGGCCACGACAGACCTCTCCTGTCTCGTCCACTGCTCCCCTCAGCAGTGTCTTCGGTCCATCTGTCTGCCTGTTCTGCTCCCCACTCTGTCTCTGGTGGACCCGCTCACCCTCCCATGCCTCTGGCCTGTACCCCAATTCTTGTATAAATCTTTAAAAAAAAAAGAATCTGAGAACATAAAGATGAATAAAACATAGTCCTTGCCCTCAAGGATCTTTTAGTTTCTTTGTTCGGTCTGATGTGAAAATAAGTATTATAGTTGAAATATATAGAGTAGTGAAAGCATGAAGGAGAAAATGGTTAGTTCTTAGGGAAGAAGGAAAATATACTGGAGATGCTACTTCTTGAGGTGTGAGGTTAAGGATAGTATCGGGTGTGGACAGAGGTATAGAGAGCGCAAAGTGAGCAAAGAGATAGGGGTGACATGAAATTATAAGTAATTGCTAGAGGAAGCTTGAAAGATATGCTGTTAGAAAGGAAGATAAGGTTAGATATCATGGTGAGACTGTTATGTATGTATATATGCGTACATACCTGTATGCATTGCTAAGAAATTTGGACTTTTATCTTGAAGCTAGTAAAAAGCCCTTCAATTCGTCAAGCACTAATAAGCATTTTTAGAGCACTATTCTCAACCCTAGGGAGGACTCAAAATTTTAGACACGATCCCTTTAATAACTTAGCTTTAGCTGAGTGAAATCAAAGATCAAATAATAGAACTTAGCTGATTAAAAAAAATACATTTTTTAAAAATCTATGTACATTTAGCTTTTACTATGATCTCCTTCTGAAATCCTACAACCCAACTTTCCATCTTCCTTTTTAGAGTCTCATCAAGTCCTTGCTCAACTGTTGGATACTTTACTTGCAATTGGCACTAAACTCCCAGAGAATCAAGCTATCCAGATGCGCTTAGTTGATGTAGCCTGCAAGGTAAGAGTACAATGGTTCGATGGAGTGTTACTTCTTACTTGAGCAGTATTGTATTATCTGGAAAGGTTGCCTGAGCTGTAAAATCCTCCTAACTCCATCCTAAATCTTTCTGAGTATTGCCAAGGGACCTTAATGGTTTTAAGAGCTGCCTCATTTTTTTGTTGTTGTAGATGTTGGATTGGAATAGTTAAGCAACTTGTTACAAAAACTTGTTATAAAACTTGTTCCTCATCAGCCCAGAAGAAATGAAAATAATTATAGTAGCTACTAAGTATACTGTGCTTAATATTTGCACTCTGATTATTATGGTAGTTTGTATTTAGTTTTTCATTTATCCATAGTCTTTTAGGTTAGTACTGCTATTACTGTTTTACAAAGGTGATGATTGAGGTTTAGGGAGTTTAACTTCCCCAAGTTTTCTCAGCTAGGAGGCTGCAGAATGAGGATACTAAAGTCTGGTTTTTCTAATTCCAAAGCTTGTATTCTTTTTATTTGCCTTGTTGCCTGAATAAACAGGTTAAGTATTTGGGAAAACTTTTTTTTTCCTGTTTTTTTTTTTTAATATATATTTTTACATCATTTTTCATTTTTGTACAATGTATGCATTTTCATCTTGATTATATTCCCCATACAATTGCACACCCCACCCCCCCCCCATTTTGACCCTAGTCCTTCCCCTCCCCACCCCAGTGTGTCTCTGGTCTATAGTTGCTTGTTGATTTTGATTTTTACTTTGTATTAATTAGTCTTTTTCCTGGTCCCTTATTTAGGTTTTCTAAATTCCTGCTATGAGTGAACCCATTTTTTGACTGGGTTATTTACTTTGTTTTTGTTGAGTCCCTTCAGCTCTTTGTAGATTTTTGTGATCAGTCCTCTATCATTAGTGTTGTGTGCAAAAATTTTCTCCCAGTGGGTGGAGTGTCTCTTTGTTTTGGTTACTGTCTCTTTTGCTGTACTTCCCTAAGCTCTTTAATTTGATGTAGTCCCAGTTGTTTATCTTTGCCTTCGCTATCACTGCTTCGGATGATGAGTTTTTAAAGATGCTGCTGAGGTGAATGTCATGTAGTGTTTCGCCTATATTTCCTTCTATATATTTTATGGTTTCAGGTCTTATGTCTAGCTCTTTAATCCAGTTTGAGTTGGTTTTTGTGCATGGTATGAGGTAGTAGTCAAGCTTCATTCTTTTGCATGTAGCAATCCAGTTTTTGGGAAAACTTTTTTATGTTGATTTTTTTCTGATAAATAAATGCATATACTTTTTTGTATGTATAAGCAATACTGTAAAAATGTATTGCTTTTTTATTTAAACACAAAACTATAATAATGTTCTTTATTTTTGCTTTATCAGTGACATTGTAATGGAAGTATTTTCCATACATTATAAATATTTGTGAACATTTTTAATGAATACATGGTATTTTGTCCAGTAGTTAAGCCATATTTTATCTAACCTTATTCTCCTATTACTGGACATTTTAACCATTTTTTAATTATAAATTATTTGGCAGCAAATACTGTTAATCTAAAATAATTTCTGTGTTTGGGGTTATTTCCTAAATACAGATTGTCACAAGTAGATTTGCTAGTTCAGAGCATTTAAAGATTTTTTAAAAGCCTTTTGGCTAAATTGTTTTCCAAAGTATTCAAGTTTATATGTCCACTGGCAGTATATGAAAGTACCTAAGTTCACTGTGTCATTCTAGGTTATTCATGTTTAAAAACGAGATAAACTTGTTAATTTGGTAGGAGGCAAGTAGAGTTTAATTTTTTTTATTTCCTTTTTAAAAGATTAATAGGAGGCTTCATATTTGTTTGTCTTTTGTATTTCCTTTCTTGAGAATGAACTTAACGTTCTTTGCCAGTTTCTCATGGGGTTTTTAATGTAAAGTTTCTCCAACATCTGTAGAGGTGCATGATGGGGTAAAAATTTGAACTTGACTCCTCTGTGGTGACCCGAGTTGTAGCAGGACAAGCAGTTAGAAAGTTTCTTCCCCTCTTTGATCAAATGTTATTTGAAAGGAGTACAGCTGAAACTCTATTCAAAGAAGGCATTATGCTTCCAGAAATATCTCAAGGAAAAGTGCTGTAAACAATAGTAGTAGCTGTCAGACTCTAAAGGAAAGGGTGGATAAAGTTAACCAGTTACTGTGAAAGTTGGAGATAAAGTTTTTCCCCCAGAATATGGAGGCACCAAAGTAATTTTAGACAACAAGGAGATGGTAACATTCTTGGAAAATCTGTTGACTGAAATCATGGTTGAAATGACATCATATGAAGCTGCCCAATCCACCAAAGTTCTGAAATCTTTCATCATATAAATAATTTGTCACTTTTATAATAAACTAATGCAATTCAAAAAAAAATTTTTTGAATAATTTGTAAATGGCAGTGCCCTCATTTTGCAGATTCAAAAATAAAGATTATCTATAATTCATAGCTATGAGTAGATATGATCCAGCAATTCTCCTTGTAATTATCTACTAAGAGAACTGAAACATGTTTTGACACAAAAACTTGTGAATGTTTGTTGCAGCAGTATTTCTTATAGTCAAAAGGTAGAAATAGATGACTATTTCAGCAACTGATGGATAAAAAACAATGCAGTTGAATATTCTTTGACCATCAAGAGGAATGAGATATTGACACGTGTTACTATCTGCATGAATCTTGAAGATATACTAAGTGAAAAAGCCAGTCATAAAAGACCACATATATTTGTGTTTAGTTGAAATTTCTATAATAGCAGAACCTATAGAGACAGAAAATTGATTAGTGGTTACTGAGGGCAGGGATGGATAGATGGATGGGTTGTTGAAATGATGAAAATTGGGGCATCCCTGGTGGCTCAAGGGGTTAAGTCATAGCACTATGAAGCAGTCTGCAGCCACTGCGGCACGAGTTCAATCCCCGGCCAGGGAGGTGACCCACATGGCACCGCAGACCTCTCCTGACTGCCCACTGCTCCCCTCAGCAGTGTATTTCAGTCAGTCTAACTGTTTTGTTCCCCACTCTGTCTTTGGTGAATCCTCTCACTCCCTGTGCCAGTGGCCTGTATCCCAGTTCTTGTATGCATAAATAAATAAATCCTAAGACAATTGATGAGTGAGACCATCTGGCATTTTTCTCTTTCTTTCTGGCTTATTTCGCTGAGCATGATCCCTTTCAGCCCCATCCATGTTGCTGCAAATTGCATGAGTTTGTCTTTTTTGATTGCTGAGTAATATTCCATTGTGTGTATGTACCACATCTTGATCCAGTCACCTATTTTTGGGCATTTGGGTTGTTTCCATAGCGTAGCTATTGTAAATAGTGCTGCTATAAACATAGGGGTGCAGGTACCCATTTGAATTAATGATTCTGTGTCCTTTGAGTAAATACCTAGGAGTGGAAAAATACCAAATGGTCTCACTTATAGCAGGAATTTAGGAAACCTAAATAAGGGACCAGGAAAAAGACTAATTATAATAAAGTAAAAATCAAAATCAACAAGCAACTATAAACCAGAGACACACAGGGAGGTGGGATTAGGGTGAAAATAAGGGGGGGTGGGAATTATATAGGGAATATAACCAAGATGAAAATGCATACATTGTGCAAAAATGAAAAATGAAAATGATGTAAAAAATATATAAAATAAAATACAAAAAATTAAAAAATAAAATAAAATATTCAGAATAAAATTATTGAAAATGTTGGAAAATTGTGATGATTGTACATATACTAAAAGCCATTAAATTGTACACATTAACAGTATGAATTGCCTGGTAGGTGAATTATTTCAATAAAGCCATTTATTAAAAACAACTCACCCTTTGGTGAATTGTAACTGTATCAGCATTTGAATTGTTTCCACTTTCTGGCTATTGTGAATAATGCTGCTGTGATATGTTTATAAATTTTTGTTTGGATATATGTTTCAGTTATCTTGGATATATACTGAGGAATGGAATTGCAGGATAATCTTTAACGTGTAAATCTTCAATTTTTTGTTGAATTTTTTTCAAATTACAGTAAAATATACATAACAAAATTTGTTTATCTTTGTACAACTTTAAAGTGTACATCTCAGTCTATTCTCAGTGTTCTATTATCACCATCATCACAAAACTCTCTCCAGTTTGCAAAACGGAAAAAACTCTGTACCTATTAAACAATTCCTCATTTCCACCACCTGCAACCACCATTGTATTTTCAGTTTTTGATTTTGACTCTGTTTACCTCATATAAATGGAATCATATAATATTCTTTTGTGTTTGACTTATTTTACTTAGTGTAATGACCTGTCTCAGTTTGGGCAGGCTTTACAAAAATACCATAAACTTGATGATTTTAACAGCAATTAATTATTTTTCACATTTGTAGAGGCTGGGAAATCCAAGATAGAGGCACCAGCAGATTTGGTATCTGGTGAAGTCTTGCTTCCCGGATTATAGATGTTTGTCTTTTTGCTGTGTCCTCACTTAGTAGGTGGGAAGAGAGAGCTCCCTGGGATCTGTTTTATGAGGGCACTGATTCCCATTTATGAGAGTCTACTCTCATGAATTAATAACTCCCCAAAGGCCCCATATCATAATACCATCACATTGGGGATTGAATTTCAACATATGAATTTTGAGGAAATACAGTTATTCATTCTATATAGCATGTCCTTAAAGTTCATCCATGTTGTAACATCTGTCAGAATTTTGTTCCTGTTTAATCTTGAATAGTATTCCACATATTGTTTATCCATTTTTCTTTTTTTTCTTTTTTTTTTTTTAAAGGTTTATTTATTTATTCATACAAACACTGGGTACAGTCAGAAGCGCGGGAGGGTGAGAGAATTCACCAGAGCCAGAGCAGGGAGCAGAGCAGGCAGAAGGACCGAAGTACACTGCTGAGGGGAGCTGCAGGCGGCAGGAGAGGTCTGCGCACCATGCGGGACCCTCATCTGGTGGCCGGGGAGCAGCCGGGGATCGAGCCGGCGCTGCAGAGGCTGCGGCAGCTCCGCAACCCAGCG